TGCTGGTTCTCAAAATCCAGCAGCATCAGACTGGAGGATGGGGCCGAGAGAAGGCTTGTTAAGAAGGCAGAGTCCCAGGTCCTCCCCTGGAGCTGCTGACTCTGTGAATGAGGCTCTGCTTCTGGGAAATACATCCACTTCAGAATCACAAACTGGTGGGCAGTTCACCAAAATGAGCCCTCAGATAATTTTTTTTGTATGTCTGTACCATCCTTAAAGACAAATATAAGATAGTACACCATAAAACTACGAGAAGAGAACATAGGCAAAACATTCTCTGACATAAATCGTAGCAAAGTTTTCTTAGGTCAGTCTCCCAAGACAATAGAAATAAAAGCAAAAATAAACAACTGGGACCTAATCAAACTTACAATCTTTTGCACAGCAAAGGAAACCATAAATAAGACGAAAAAACAACCTATGGAATGGGAGAAAAAAATTGCAAACAACACAACCAACAAGGGCTTAATTTCAAAAACATACAAACAGCTCATACAATTCAATATTTTTAAAAAAAGCCAAACAACCCAATCAAAAAATGGGCAGATGACCCAAACATTTCTCCAGTGAAGACAGAGATGGCCATCAGGCACATGAAAAGATGCTCAACATCACTAATTACTAGAGAAATGCAAATCAAAACTACAAGGTATCACCTCACACCAGTCAGAATGGCCATCATTAAAAACCACAAATAATAAATGCTAGAGAGAGTATGGAGAAAAGGGAACCCTTCCACACTATTAGTGGGAATGTAAATTGGTGCCGCTACTATGAAGAACAGTATAGAGGTTTCTTAAAAAACTGAAAATAGAGCTACCATAAGATTCAGCAATCCCACTCCTGGGCATATACCCAGAGGAATCTCTAATTTGAAAAGCTACATGCACTCCAATGTTCACAGCAACACTATTTATAATGGTCAAGCAAACTAAATGTCCATCAACAGATGAATAAAGAAGATGTACTATATAGATACAATGGAATATTACTCAGCCATATAAAAGAATGAAATTTTGCCATTTACAGCAACATGGATGGACTTAGAGATTGCCATACTAAGTCAAAGAAAAACAAATATTGTGATATCACTTATATGTGGAATCTAAAAAAAATGATACAAATGAACTTATTTACAAAGCAGAAACAGACTCAAAGACATAGAAAACAAACTTACAGTTACCAAAAAGGGACTGGCAGGGGAGGGATAAATCCAGAGTTTGGGATTAACAGATACACACTACTTTATATAAAATAGATAAACAACAAGGTCCTACTGGATAGCACAGGGAACTATATTCAAAATCTTGTAACAATCTATAATGGAAAAAAATCTGAAAAAGAATATACATATATGTGTATAACTGAATCACTTTGCTGTACACCAGAAACTAAGACAACTCTGTAAATCAACTACACTTCAATTTTTTAAAAAATGTCTTTGCCATCATGTAAAATGGGAAGATTTCATGTAAAAATCTTATCTCCATCCAGAGCATGGCCAAGACCCAGGTCTGTTTACCACGTGGCAGTAATAAACCAGTGTTAAGCAGCGTCCACCCCTGGAGGCAGGGCTGGTGCTCCCTAGTTCGCCATAGGGCCAGCCCCCCAGTACACACACAGATGCACATGCACTCACCCCTGGCTCTGTCTTCTGGAGGTGCCCCGCAAGCTTTTGAGTTCACAGACTCTGCCCTACACTGCCAGGGCGAGGGATAGAAGAGGCCGAAAGATCGCGCTTCTCTGCTTTCCCAGCTGCAGCCCATGGTACTAATGTCCTACTAACAACAGAGTTAAGTCTCCTAACTCCATTATCCTGTGTCATCCCCTCACAAGGATGGAACTTTCACAAAAGCAGAACCTTTGTCAGTTTCGTTTTCTATAGAATCCTGTGACTGGCACACAGTAGGGGCTCAAAAATATGTACTGAGCAAATCAAAACCACCATGAAATACCACTTCACATCCACTAGAATGGCTACAATCTGGAAAAAAAAAAACCCAGAAAATAAGTGTTGACCAGGACGTGGAGAGTTGGAACCCTCCTGCGTTGCTGGTGGGCATGTAAAATGGTGCAGCCACTATGAAAACAGTCTAGCAATTCCTCAAAAAGTTAAACACAGAGTGACCATATAACCCAGCAATTCCACTCCTAGATATATACCGAGGTATTCAAACAAAAACTTGTATACAAATGTTCATTGCAGCACTATTGCCAAAGGTAGAAACAGCTCAAATGTCTATTGACCAATGAATGGATAGCAAAATGTGATCTATCCATATAATGGAATATTATTCCATCATAAAAAGGGATGGAAGACTGATACCTGCTATGCCATGGATGAACACTATAAGCAAAGAAAAGCCAGACACAAAAGTCTACACATTGTATGATTCCATTTGTATAAAATTCTCAGAATAGGCAAATCCATAGAGACAGAAAGTAAATTAATGGTTGTCAGAGGCTGGGAGGAGAGAGTACTGAAAAGTGACTACTCTCACTGGATAGGGAGTTCTTTTAGGAGTGATGAACACTCTAGTTCTGGAACTAGATAGGATGATGGTCATACAACATTGTGAATAAACTAGATGCCACTGAACACTTTAAAATTGTTAAGATGGTAAATTTTATCTTATGTATATTTTACCACAATAAAAAAAATACTGAATGAATGAATCAGCCCCTGCCATGGAATTATCCTGCGGCCTGATGTACCTCTGTTCTGGGCCCTGGAGAAGCAGAAGGCTAAGGTCTGGCCTGGACCACACAAAACCTCGAGGCCAGAAGGGGAGTGAGCTTGTGTGGAGGTAGGGGTGATTTGGAACTCTGCAGACAATTCTGACTGCCTGGAAAGCAAGGGAGAGGAGGAGGTACCTACAGAGGTGGTCAGGTTACAAAAGAACTCACAAATCAGGCCAAGGAGCTCAGAAGTTATCCCAGAGGTGGTAGGGAGTCACTAAGGAATATTCAGCAGGGGAGTTATATGATCACATTTGCAGTTTTCATGCCCTTTGAACCTACAAATGTTCCACGAGGCCCCCAAAGCAGTTCTTAATGCAATTCCCCTTCAGCTCTCTGGCCCTGCTCACTCTTCACCCACACACATCTGTTAAAGGCCTTTCTCATAGGTTAGGTACCCGGAAACAGTCTCCAGACAGATTTGCATGTCGGGAGGCTTGCCGAGGAGAATCCTGGAGTAGCTCCTGCAGGGGAGCGAGGGCACTGGGTAGAGGCCGAGGCTGAACTGGGATGCAACTGACACAGACACCTCAGATGACCTGAGGGGAGCTCTGAAGCCGGATGCCTCAAAGAAGGCAAGGAGTCCCCGTCTACGTGGCCCTCCTCTCTGACTAGTCATTGGATGCAGGCTGCCCTGGGAGAGGGCAGAGCCTTGAACCTGGTGGCTCCCTTCCTCCAAGTGCAATTCCTGGGGAAGGATTCAGCGTTGAGCAGCCAGCAGGCAAGGCTCCCTGCAGCTGCAGAGGGAGTGCCTGGGCCCTGAAGGGAGACCTGGACGTGGACCCACAGCAACCACTACAGGCCTCGCCCGGGGCTCAGAGCTCTTTGCAGCTAAGTGTTCAGAGAGATGCTTGCTGTTTCCCCAGCTTCTGCCCACATCTGCTACTGCCAGAGCCAGCCCTCTGAAAGTTCCCCTCAAGAGTTTCAAGACATCAGCTAGGTCATAATTTTCCATCTTCTCCTCCACCCCTTTCCTCCTCCAGGTCTCCTCTGCCAGGGACCACCTCATCACCAGGTGCTATCACTGTAGCTACTGAAATCCTACCCCTCCACCACCACCTGACTGCCCAGACATGAACAGAGCTACGTGGTCTTCTCTGGCAAAGCTGGGGAGAAAGTCCCCTCCCCTAGTGACCCGCTTCCCTAGAGGAGCTGTAAAGATCTCCTGCGCCTCAGTTTCCAGGGTTAGCACCTTTACATTGCCCCTGCTGGGCTGGGGGGTTAAAGAACCTCAGGAGGGCCTTCTCAACCTTGGCTGCCCACAGAATCCCCTGGGGAAACTTTTTAAAAATACCAGTGCCTGGGCTCCACCCCAGACCAATGGAAACTCACAGGGTGGGGCCAGGCACTGGGAGTGCTTTGCAATCTCCCCTCGTGATTCGAGTACCTGCCAAAGCTGAGAACTAGTGACCTCGATTATATTTTTTTACAAAGATCAGTCAGGGAGCGTGGAGGACAGCGATGATTTAGGAGAGAGAAGTCAGGGCTTGACCCGGCCCAGAGGTGATGTGTGTGAGTGGAAAAGACGAAGGCAGAGATTATGTAAGCAGAGTGAACAACGGCCCAGGCAGGGTTAAATTGGAGGAATTTCCCAAGAAGCCAAGAAGTGCTCCTGCCCGGGCCCCACCCCCAGGGATCCTGATTTAATTGGTCCAGGTGGCTGAGCCCTGGAGGGCGGGGCGGGCATCAAGTGACCCAGGTGATTCTAATGGGCAGGTCAAGCTGAGAGCCAGAGCTTTCTGTCCTGTCACAGTCTTGCCTGGCAACCCCACCAAGCAGGTGTCCAAAGTTTCCAGGTGGCCTCCACCCAGTGTTGACAAGCCAGCCATGTTTCTTACCACCTGGACCCTGGAGCGAGGTCTTGAGCAACTCCAAGTTCCATCCAATCTAAACTCTAACGCCAGCACGCCCAGCCTGCCTCCTGGGAGAGTGGGTGGAGCTGCTCTGCAGGGCGTGGAGCTGGACAGCCGTTTGTGGCTCTCCTTCCTGGGCACTCAGCTGGTCTTCTGCCCCTCCCACCAAAAGCGCCAGCCAGTGCTTTATCCAGTTTGGCATTTTCTCATGCAGGTGATTTTTATTTTCCAGAAAGGAAATCACTATTTTTCTAAAGATAAATATAATACATAATTGGTTTTCTTTTTAAATCTTTTTCCAGAATATGAAGTAAAAAGTGAAAATCACCCTTAATCCCCACACCCAGAGGCGCCCCCAGTAAGAAAGAGCAGAGCAGCTCCTGATGGCTGGAGCTGGCCTGTACTCACAGCCAGGCCTTGGTCTTGTGGACAAAGAATGTCGCCTGCCATTCTCCTGTTGAGCAGAACCAGCTCCACAGAACACCAACATCAGCCAAGGCCACTGCCACTGTGAAGAGCAGGACAAAGACAAGACCATTCTGTGATTGTGTCTGAATGAAACAAAAACAAGAGCATCGTCCAAACTCCAAAAATAACCAAACATCCACCTCTTCTGGCAAATCAGTGACTGTTGTTTTTGTTTTGTTTTGTTTTGACCAATTATAGCCTCATTTCATTCATCCTGATGAGAATTATTAAGACATCCAGTCAAAATTACCCCTGTTTCCTGGTAGCATCCAATCCAGAGCACAGCCCTGCTTGCAAGCTCAACACTGATACTAATTCCTTTCTAGCATCTTCTGTCTCTTTTTTTCATTGGGAGGGAGGTAATTAGGTGTATTTATTTATTTATTTATTTATTTAATAGAGGTACTGGGGATTGAACCCAAGACCTCATGCATGTTAAGCATGCGCTCTACCACTGAGATATACCCTCCTCCACTACCAGAACATTTTATAAGAGGAAAATATCCAAGCTGCCGGTAAACCCCACTGCACTTTGTTCCTGGTGGGATATAGAGCATTGACACCATAATTTTGGAACATATCCTTCCAGATGTTTTTTCTCTGAATATAGATAAGTTTTTATTTGAAAAAATGAAGAAGACTGTAATTCTATTTTACGATCTACTTTTTTGTGAAGTTAACAACCCCTTAAGAAAATTATTTTCAACAGCTGCCTCTCCTGCTGTATGGATGCTGTGGACGTGCTAAGTCCACTTTCTAATCGTGTGATTCTGTGTGTCTTTAAGCCTTTTGACAGTCGGCTCATATGCTTTTTTGATATCTGCCATGGGCTGCTGGCTTTCTTCAGAAAATCCTGAGAGGGACCACCGCTTTGCCAGGCTTTGGTGTGGGGAAGCCACGGGTGAGGGTGGAGATACTGCAACTGTTCTCCGGGGAGTTGAGCCGGGGTCCTCTCAGGTATGGCAGGAAAAGTTGCCACTGATGCAGAGCCAAGCTTCAGAGCTGAACCTGAGAGGAGGTCCGCACACTCCCCGCCACTCCCAGTGTCACCCATTCAAAGATCAGGGATCTTCAGCTTTCAGAACACCCACTGCCTCGGAGGGGATTCCATCCGGAGTAATCGAGCTTGGAAACCATTTTTGTGGATTTATATCTTACAGGAAGATTCTCCAAGGTAGTGAAGCCAACAAAATTCCAAAACAGCAAGGTCAGTTCAGCTCCGTTAACTAATTCGAGCCCATAAATCAAGGCCAGGAAACAGGCTGTGTTCTAGTGCAATGCTTTCAAGCCTCCAGTCACCTGGGGGTCCTCACAACAGAGTCTTGATTCCAACAGGCGGGTCTGAGAGTCTGCAGGTCTAACAAGATCCCAAGCGATGCTGATGCTGCCAGAGTAGCCAGGTCCTCACTGTCTGGCTGGCACTTACCCCTAAAAGTTTCCCGTGAATTCACTCTCATTGTTTGCCAACATTTGGGGAGAGTGTGATGATTGCCAAATGTATCAGACCTCTCTTCCCACCTCGGAGAAAAGAAGTCTCTAGTTCCCTTCAAGGGATGAAACTTTAGCCGGGCAAAAGTTCTGCTCTCCAGACAGGAGTTTGGACACCACACCCAGCTCAGACACAGCTGCACACAGGCAACGTGAGGTGGAGGAAATGGGGAGGGCTCCCACCTTCTCGTAGCAGGCTTGAAGGAGAGCTTAAACAGACCTGCTCCCAAAGAGCCCGGTTTCAAGGAATGAATGACTCCAAGGCCCAGAAGCCCCCAGACGGCACCCCCTGTGCACGTCTATGATTATCTCCATATAAAAGTTCACTATTCCAAATTGAGAGATAAAAGCAAAAATAGGTTCTAAAGAGTTTAGCTAATTTCATGACAGATTCATAAAGAGTCACTAAGAGGGGGGAAAGCTAGCAATTTGGAAAGGAATCTCTTGCCTCCTCTGGCAAGCATTTCTCTCTTCCTTCTGCTGTGGGATGCTTGTTCCCATCAAGTTCGGCGTTTCTCATATTCCTGGGCACTCCTCACTGTCTGCCACCCCCTCCACCACCGTCTTGGTCTCTGACCCCCTCACCCCCTACTCAACAAGAAGTACAGTTGCAGAGGGCCCCTGAACAATATCAGATGAATAGTGGCCATGCCCTGGTGACTCGGTTCTGCATCAAGCAGTCCTGAGATTCCATTTTCTTGTCTTGGAGCTACGTGTCCAATATGGTAGCAGCCAGCCACACATGGCTTTTTAAATACACATTAGCTAAAATTAAATAAATTTTAAAATTCAGCTCCTCAGTTGCACAAGCCACATTCTAAGTGCTCCAGAGTCATGTGTGACATGTGGCTACTCTACTGGGTGTGCAATGATAACATTTCCATCCTCACAGAAAATTCTATTGGACAGGGCTATCCAGATGTTTCTCACCAAAACCCAACAAGTCATAGGGTATGTTTGTGTGTTTTAGGAAGAGGCACCTCGTCCTCAAGACACCTTACTGACCCCTACAGGAAAAAACAAAGCAATCAATGTTCAAATCTGCAACCGTGCTGTACATGGCAACCCGACCCCGCCCCACGTTGTGCAGTGCACAACCCACTCCATCACAGGCAGCAAACCTGATGAAAGTCCTTCACTGATCCTTAGAGTTTCACTTCTGTCTTCATCACATCAGACCATGGCCCCCTTATCTTCTCCTTTTGGGGTGGGGGTGGGCTGTGGTTTGCAGTTGGTCCTTGTTATTAATTTCCTGTAGCTGTTGAAACAAATTACCACAAACTACATGGCTTAAAAGAACAAAAATTAATTCTCTCACAATTCTAGGGACCAAAAACCCAAGGTCAAGGTGTTCTCAGGCCTGCACTCTCTCCAGCTTCCCTTCCTTGCCTCCTCCAGCTTCTGGTGGCTCCAGGCTTTCTCTGCCTTGGTCTTCACACGGCCTTCTCCTTTGTATCTATGACTTCTCCTCTGCTCTTACCAGGACACTTGTGATTGGATTTAGGACACACCTGGGTAATCCAGACTGACCTCATCTCAAGATTCTTAATTACATCTGCAAAGACCCTTTTTCAAAATTAAGGTCACATTCACAGGTTTAGGGGGCCAGGACATGGACATATCTTTGGGGAGCCACCCGTCAACCCACTAGAGTCCTACTGTGCAAGTGTCTTAATTGCATTCTCCCTCTGGACACACTCAGCAAGCCTCTGGCGAGTCTTCCTCTGAACTGAACTGTGTGGACCTAAAGCAGAAGCTCGCCCACCACCAGGAGACATGCCCCTGTCTGCAGGCAGGTCCCTATTCCATTCAGTGCAATAGCGGGCGACTTCTTCCCACCTGACAATCATCTCTAGGGGCTTCCACACCTCAAACATTTGGCACAGGTTCATTTCCACGTGAGAGTCTATATTCTTCCAACATGCCAGGCCACCCCGTAAGGACGGCTCTGCTCAGCCAGGAAGACAGCCCGTTGATAAAGAGTGGACTGGCGATGTGGGAGGAGAATAATCATAAAAGTAACAGTAACGGTGGCTACTAACACTTATATAGCCCCTCACATCAGAGGCGAGGGATCTGAGTCGGAGAGGGATTAAGGAACACGCTCAGGTCAGAGAAGGTTCAGAACCTGGATGTGGACCCAAGGCAGTCTGGCTCCAACAACCACGCTTCAGCCAAGAGAAAATATCACGTAGGCGGCATGTTTCTGGAGACTTAGAGGAGCTGCAAGATGTGACAGAGAGAAGTGCTTCTGAGAAATGCTACTGAGTCGATCCTCAGCAGAGGAGGTGTAAGCAGAGCTTGGAAGCCCTTTTTAAGGACGTTTGGTTAACAAGCTGTGCCTCTGGGAATACAGACTTTGGGCCAAGAGCCTGGGCTGTGCAGGGACCTGGCTGGTATTACCACGGCCAGCCTCCGTCTCCTCCTGTGGTGCCCCATCCAGCCAACACGTGGGTGAGAGCAAATAAAGAAATACACGCGTGGAGGTCCTGCCCAGAAGAGACAGAGCTCTCTCTCTTCCCTCCCAGCCTCTCCAGCCCCAGCTCCGGCCCTCTCCTCACCACGCCCAGAAGTTTCATGTCATCTTACTGCTCTGAGGTGCTGACAGGGAGGAATAGTGACCCAGCGGGCAGGAGTGTCAGAGACGTGAGAAATGCCCAAGATAAGGAGGGCTTGAGCCCTCTGTGGGGGACATCTGAGGAGGGCTAAAGGGACAAGGACAACTCACAGGATCCCTCGGGGGTGGGGGTGGGGCATCGTGGGGGCTTATATCCTACTGTTTTACCAAACTCAACCAACCACACTGGCCAGGTTTAAGAAGCTGATTTTCAGTCTGTCAGGAATTACCAAATGCACCACACCAGAGCTGAGGCTGGGGCCAATTCCCAGTGTGCCACCAAGACCACCACAGCCTGGCCCTGAGTGCTCCTTCAGCTCTGTGAGAGGAGGGTTGAAAGCATGGCAGTGGGGTTCCTGGCGTGGACACAGACAAGTACAGCTATTTCCTTTCAGAATTATTTTCTAGTGGAAATTTCACAGTCACGAGCCAAGTCTTGGGGGCAACGGGGGAGACAGTAGATATTTCCTCCTGAGCTAGGCCAGAAATTTCCTGGGCAGCAAAGAGGAATAGAATGGGCCCAGGTTTAAGAGTCAGGGTGGTCTGGGTGGGAGTTCTGATTCTAGCACTTACTGCGTGACCTGAGGAAAGTTCCACAACCTCTCTGGGCCTCAGTTTCATCTTCTGTAAAAATGGGAGTAAAAGCACCCCACAGGAGATGCTTATCAAAGCGATGCTCTGCTCACAGGCTGTCCTTCCTTCCCTTCTCAGCACTCCAGTGAGTACTCTGGTCCACCATTCAAGCTGTGACTTCCCAGGGCAGGCCCTTTTTCTCCCTCCCTGTCCCCTCCCTGTTCACTAGGAAAGGACACAAGAACAGCTCCCACACGGGCCTGGGAACAGGCCCTGAGGAGGCCTGCCCCTCCTCAGAGCTAGCAGAGCAGGGGGCCCGCAGGGGTGGAGGGTCTGCAGCTTTCCAGGGGCCTCCAGGCAGGCAGGCTCCACTCACCTTCTTGGGAGAGACCGCTGGACCCTCACCCAGTGATTTCCCACCAGGGCCCTGGGGGAGCAAGTGCCCACACTTCACCTTCCCAGGGCACCTGCGGGCAGCACACAGACAACTGGCTGTGCAGCTAATGCCCGCGGACTGGCACTCAGCCTTGCAGGACAGGCCCGTGGCTCTTCAGTGACCTCAGCCCCAGGGAATGTGGGGAAATTCAGTGGGAGGCAGGGCTGACAGGCCTGAAGGAGAGGTCAGTGCAGGCTGGGGCGGCCACAGGGTCAGCTGAGGTGTGGCTCGGTGTTACTGTACCCCAGGGGGTCAGGGCAACCTATCAAGCTCATGGGAGGTGGCCCAGCGTGTGGTCTGGGGGCCCTGGCACACATGAAGATGTGCTGGCAGCTGCCTGGAGAAGCCTGAATTGTTTTCAGGTTGTTTTCAAGGCTTCCTTGTGCAGCTGCTGGGCCCTGCCTGCTCCCTCCGGAGAGACAGAGCTCCGAGAGGAGGCCCAGAGCCTTTCCCAGGGCCCCACATGGCAGCCCTGGAGCCGGAGCCGGAGCCGGAGGCCTGGTCTCCCTGGAGTCCCCTGCACCAGGCATGCCCCTGCCAGCCTCTTTTCCAGAATTCATTTTCCTGCCTTCCCCTGCTGGGGTGAATAAGAGGCCCACTGAAGGTTGCCAGATTGAGCAAATGAAAATTACGTGATGGCCAGTTCAATTTGAATTTCAGATAAATGACAGATAATTTTTTTATTATAAGTATGTCCCATACAATATTTGGAACATGCTTTTATATTAAACAAACTATTTGTTGTTTTATCTGGAATTCAAATGGAACAGGCCATCTTGTATTTTATCTGGCAACCCTGGCCCCACCTCATTCTTTAAATTCTCAGAATGTCCCTCTTCTCGGCTTCTTATCTGTGGGGAGATACTCGAACATCAGGGCACATGCAAGGCATTTGTATTTTTCATGTTACTGTGGATATGAGTCTGGTTTTAAAACTCTGGAACACTACAGATGCTTGCAAATATTTCTTAAACGGAACTGTTTTATTAACTATCTATTCACAGTCATCTGTTGTAATAAAAACCTCCAGTGGATAATTTCTTTTCCTTTACTTTTCTTTCTTATTTTTGTTACCCTTGTGTGTTTTGGAAATATCCTTCTAGTTTATAGGAAACCACCTTATTCTTACCTTATTATCAATGCTGTTGAAGGAAAATATTCTTTACCTTTCTCTTCTCTTCCTTTTAAGAAAAGCCCAGCTACCACCATGTACCCTATTTCTCTTTGGAAAGGGAAGCTGCTAGGCAGGTCCCAGCTTTCTCAAGAGTGAGGCTCACTGGTAAATGACAGAGCCCTGATGGATGGACACTCTCGAAATTATGCCCTAGACTTGGACTATGTGAGACTCAAGGCCCAATCCTATGGGCCCGGGCCACAGGGGATCTCCAGTTGGGTATGCTTGGGGCTGTGTCCCATCTATTTCTGTCTCTTTCTGCTCCTCTTCCCACCTCCCCGCCCCCACCCCCAAGGTATTAGAAATAGCAATGTTCCCACTTCCAAGGTCACAGGAGTAGGATGTGGCCAAGGCTTCCCCAGGGCAGGCACAGAGGTCCTGGGTGTCAGCTTCTGGACGTGTGGCAGGGACCTGAACCACTTTCCAAACGCCCCTCAATGTGGAAAGTCTCCCCTGGCAGCCGCCTCATCCCTCCAAGGCCCCAGTGTTCCTCCAGATCACTTGGGAAGAAACCTTGGGAACATCCCGCCCTCTCTGAGCAGCACTTGGCAAGGGCCCAGCTTGGGGCCCTCCCTGGCTCACAGGGGAGCCAGCCTCTGCCCAGCCTGCTGCGTCCTCTGACGCAGGCTGTCCTCAGCCACACCAGGCAGAGCCTCCGGGGCTGGCCCTGCAGCGCCCCAGCTGCAAGTTCTCCCCGCCCTCCTCCCTCTTGCCTCCTCCCACGCCTCCCTCCCAGGATTCCCGAGGACTTTGTCAGGGTGCCCCGTGCCAACATCACACCCACTGTGGCTCAGAGTGTGAGACAA